GCAAAGTGATGGACGTGAGGAACCGTTTAGATTCAGTTTGCTTTGTTCTGTTTCCTCTCGAGTGCAGGGTCAGCGCAGCTTCCTGTGGACGTTAGCTATAAAACAACCGAGCTGTGTCTGCTGGAGAAGTCAAACTATTCTGGGTGTTCACAGAAGGGCAGTTATTTATGCACACGTACTCAGCGTCTGGTGTTTAAGGTCTGTCACTGCTCGTTTCCACTGAATTTCACTTGCGTTGAACACTCACGCCTCGTTCATACAGAAACTAGCTTTGTGTGGTTTCATACTGAATGACGGCGTGATGGTAGCGATGGTGCACTCGCAGGCAGGAAGGGATTGAATGATCGGGCACCACATTAGTCTGATTGAAGCAGAAGGTATCCAATTGTGGCAGTGAGATTTCTTGCAATTTTAGAAAGAAGAGCGCGTCGAACTGCATGTTTTGCTGCGATGTTTTGTACCTTGAACGTTTTTGAAAACAGTGACCTGTCATCTCACCTCACTGCACCTATAAATAGCCTTTATTGAGCATATGAGCAAAGTCTTCCTGTTAACCCAAAGTGCAGGAAGGGAGTGTTTTCAATACTATTAGTCACCGGCTCTGCTGGTCACCTGAGAACCGACAAAGATGGCATTGATCAGTCGTTCCACTGCCAGGCCGATTCACCCCAACGCATTCATGATGCGATCGGCCGGGGCGAGACGGTGAGACTGAGCAGCGGTGTGGTGGCAACTGTCCTTTTATACGCCATCGTTAAATTTAATGTGAGGCTCAGCAGAGTGGACTTTTTTATCTTCACTTCTGATTACCCAGATTTCCACCTGACAGGAGCAGAGAAGTGCAAAGGTCTTAGTACAGCCTGTAAAATAACAATCTGTCGCTCAAGACCTGCAGGCCTGTTTCTGCCATTAATGACACACTGAGATACTGTGTGTGTGTGTGTGTGTGTGTGTGAGGAAAGTAGAATGACACAAAGAAAGGGAGAGGTCATATGTGCTGCAGGTCTGGTGTCATATTCTGTGCCTCTGAGGCCTCGTGTGTGAGCCAGGACTTCCTGCTCCGTTCGACTGATTCTTTTGATCGCGACTCGTTCACCGCACATGCTCCACACTCATCAAATCATTCCTACTATTACTAATGTATTCATCAGGGTGGCAAATGGCCCGCATGTTGTTTTAGGAAACAGAACGCCATTGATTCACTTTTAGAGCGGCCCATTTATCAGGGGAACACGACGTGACCTCCAGCTCTTAATCAGCATCGTCCACTGTGAAGTGTATTGTTTTGTAAATCCCATAAACATTTTAATGCGTGCT